TGTAACTCTATAGCTTCCCCTGCTTCTGTTCCTGATACACAAGCACTGCTCAGTAACACTACCCATCGGATACAATGTTCTAGGTTACCAGTCAGACACACACACACACACACACACACACAATGGCCAGCATCATCCTGCCCCTTCACTGACCCCATTTCAACCAGGCGTACCTGAAGGTTTTACTGGGCCAACAGCGAACCGCGAGCCGCTGCGGGTAGAAAGCGGAGAACCCAGATTATGCCCCGAGGTCAGACGGAGACGGATGCTCTTGGCATCACGAGTCCTCATGAAACATGGGAACAACTTCCTCATCGCGCTTAGAATAACCTGCCTCAAAATATTAACAGGCGAAACACAAGCAGTCCATCAAACCTGGGTCACTATATGTCAGCGTGAGTGTTTATTTTCACCTGCCGCAGGAGAAATCGGGAAAGTGTAGCTTGTAACTGTCTGTTAAAGAAAGCATATACTTTGAATTCTTCCCCCTGTCCTGGCTGCAGCACTCAAAGGAATAAAACAAACTGATGAAGTGGGATCAAACATAGCAGCTGTAAAGTCACATTTAACCCATGTGTAGGTGATGATGCACCGTCACACACAGCGACACAGCTGAGTGGGTTGTACCTGCGCAGCAAACGGTTACAGAACACAGGTCATTAACTTATATAAAGGGTTATTCAACCCTTTGCTTGTTCATGTGAAAGACAGAGAAAGGCCAGTGCAACAATGGCTACCCTCCTTCAACCTGACTCCTGTCTAAACACCGTTCTCTCTGTTCAGTTATATAATTGCAGTGTATTCCAGTTTTTTGTTTAAAAAAAAAACACACACACACACAAGAGAAAAAGGGGATTTTACAAGTGGCAGGCTAAAAACTGGGGGAGGAAATTCACTTACATGCAGTTGCATCAGTTTGAGTGCAAATCCCTGCTTGCATTATGCTGCAGTGTACATCCTCCAGCACCACATTCCTGGCTCTCCACACAGCCAACTCAAGTCAAACATACAGCAGAAAAACATATAAAAAAACTCAAATAAGCTGTCATTAGAAATTCTGAGATAAAAAACTTTTTCATTGACTTTGCTATGAGAACAAGAACAGCATCACAAGGCTTTATAACTTCTCACATGCCGGCCTGAGAGCTGTGTGTACATTCTTATTGTGTATAAATGTCGAAGCCAAAGAGGTTTAACTTTCAGACAACAGTGCACACTGATACAGACCTCATTCAGCTGCAGTTAAGAGGGATATGGGCGTCGCACTTAGCCCATGAACACACACTTTTCCTTTGACAATATGGACTGCTCGTATCCTTTATGATCAGCCTAGCACCTGGAACTTAAAGGTCCCATATGATGCTAATCTTCAGGTTCATACTTATACTTGGGGTTTCTACTAGAACATGCTTACATGCTTTAATTTCCAAAAAAACACATTATTTTTCTCATACTATCTGCCTGAATATACCTGTAGTCACCCTCTGTCTGAAAAACTCCGTTTTAGCGCCTGTCGCTTTAAGACACCCGCCCCAAAGAAGCCATGTCTGCTTTGATTGATGAGCATTTCTAAGTCTTCAACATCTGTGTCTTTGCACCATCACTGTAGGTGGGGAATGACTGTAACAGCACTGTATCTGCATTTGATATCTTTACATAGTAGAGTTGTGACATCACAACTTCAAGGAAGTCCTGATGGCTCATTTAAAGGCACAGTTTCTGAAGGCTTGTATGCATGTATGTATGCATTCCTCTATGGAAGTAGCGTTTTGATACTTTCTCAGTAATTTCTAAGAGAATCTATACCTGGAAGGCATGGAAATCTGACTTCTTCAATATGGGTCCTTTAAGGCCACACGGGTCATGGATGTACAAAGCGAACTGGATCCAGCGTTGGAGGCGGGACCCTGTTAATTCCTATGAAAGTTGCTCAGTGGCGCATGATGCCAAAAACATTCAACTGCCGCATATAAAGTTACCTAGATGATGTGTGCTGCTCCCACATCAATGGGCCTACAAAGCAAGCACACTAGCGACTTCAACCGGCCGAGGTGTCTAACTTTGGTTTAGCACAGTGGTTCCTAACTGGTGGGTCACGGTCCAGGACTGGGTCACGGGTCCATTCTGAATGGACCGCAAGTGACTTGAGTATCAAGCTTGTAAAAAACACTTTATTTTGAAGTACGGTGAATTTCCGGCACTTTTATTTTGAAATGCTATTTCCTGCTGTAAAACGAGTGACTAAGTGTTAGCTAGGAAATTAGCTCGACGACATGACCGAACACAAGTATGGTGCTTAATGAATTAAACTATGTGGACTTTGAACTTTGACAACTACGGACCAGTTGGGAACCACTGCTTTAGCACGCCACTAACCTGTGTGGGGATAAAATGATTCAATCTCGCGACTCTTCTCTACTTCCCAAATGTTATCAGACCAGAGGGATCAAACTCTGATAGTGAAACTAGTCATTCTGCGGGGGTTAAGACACTCAAAAAAATGTATCCACTGATTTACAGACATCTCTTCCACAATGTAAACCTATGGGAAAAAGTCCTTTTTAGACCCCAGGGCATCACATGACGAACTCAGAAGTTGTAATTCAACTGTTTGGCCACTATAAAACTTGCCTCCAATGCCCGGCTCACTTCCTGGGGGCCTGACGTGGGCTCTAAGAGCAACACCAATTTGCCCCCAGAGATCCTTCATTTCCATTACCTGTGCCACTGGATCAAAAACAAAATCCAACAGTTCCTTTAGCATTTGGTTCACATGTAGCACACTGTAGCTGCAAGCCTTGATAAACAACCTCGACTGAAGCCAAAGAAACAAAAAGAAACATCCCGGGGCTGCGACGCAGAGCTTCCCCAAATCTGAAATCCTATTTTACTTAAGTAACTAAAGGGAGTATTTCAACATAAATGGGGGATGCATATTTTTTTCCGCGTTGAAGAGTTTTCCTAATCCGCTGTGAGGGTCCAAGTATATTGGGCTTTATAAATGAAATTGAATTCTAATGCATTTTCTGCATCATTTTATGGTGTAGATGTGTTTCATTATGTTTGTAAAATAAAAGTTCTCTGCTACTTTCATGTTCTTAACACTGAAGGGGACGTGGCCCCTGCGTCGCCCCTGAAATCTACACCTTTGAAGACACTGTTGATATCTGTGTTAACAAATAAGATGTTTTTATTTAATGTAGGAAACATCTCGAAACTTACATTTGAGGAATGCTTTCAAGAGATTTTTAAAAAAAAAAAAAAAAAAAGCTGTCACATGGCTAGTCTCCATCTTTACCTCCTTTTCGTACCTTATTAGGCTCATGGTCCGTAGCCTAAAACTTTTGATGCTGAGAGTTTTTGATGCCTCTGACTTGTGGAAGCAAAATAAATTGCCCATTCATGCACCACAGGGAGAATTCCTTTGCTCTCACCTAAAACCTAAACACACCTTTTCAGCGGGGAGCCAATCATTTCGTCGCCCCCCCCCCCCCATTAATGTCGGATATCAGTTTTTCACAGAAAAAAAAAAAAAAAATTACATGGCCACATCAGCCTTTCACTAAAGGAATGTCATCTGACGTCATGTATTTGGGATCGGATTTCTCCCTCTCCTCTTTTTCTCTCTCCCCCTGAAAAGTGTGTGTGTGTGTGTGTGTGTGTGTGTGTGTTAGGTTATTTTTCCCCTAGCCTATATTCTCCAACGTGCCCACTGGATCCAGAGCCCACAGCAGCAGGGGGACATANTCCAACGTGCCCACTGGATCCAGAGCCCACAGCATCAGGGGCACATCCCCCCCCCCCCCCCCCCCCCCCCCCCCCCACCTCCACCACTGATCATGACAGCATGACAATTACCAACTCACTCCTGTTATTATATGTAGGCTATGTATTTAAAAATCCGCACCTCAAGTCATCTTTATGCATCTTAAATTTTCCGACCTACAGCTGCCACATGTGTGCTCTCCTCTCCCACTGATGACTTTCAGTGCTCCTTGTGTGCAGGCATACGTGGAAGTGCTAATAATAATCGATCGTCTCAAGCAGCAGGAGACCAATGTTTGATTTCCACGTCTGCATCAGAGAGGCTGAGAGAGAGAGATTTGTCTTCCCTGCACAAACAGACAGACACGTAGTCGTTTCTGAGAGGGAGAGGGAGAAGAGGGAGAGGGAGAGACTGGCTGGAAGGAATGCTAGGATATGCTGGAGTTGGGATTTTTTTTTTCCTCCTTCTCCAAAGCCTTTTTTCCTGCATTCTGCAACCGCACACAAACTCCATGGAAAGTGGCTCCAACGCAGCCTCTTTAACATCTCCAAACTCTTATCCAACGCATTACAACCCCCCTATAGAGCCAATTCAATGATTTCGCAACCCCCCTCTCTGTCAAATCTGACTGCCTCAGCATCTTCCATTCCAACTTATTTTCCAGCTATAAAAAAAAAGTCTCCATTTCCTGATTTTTGCGCAGCCACAACAAAAACCCGAGCATTGCCTGAGTGCACATAACGGCGCAACAACTGCGATGTGTTTCACAAATAAAGCCAAAGAGTGGAGGATTTGTCCTGTTGCGCACTCACTCCATCTCAAGTCCTCGGAGACAAAAACACATTCTTTCGTGAAAGCGGAGAAATCGGGACCACAAAGCGCAAAGACTCCCAAATACGCACGACACACTCACTCGAGAACTAACACGATCATCCCCGCTGCTTGGCTTTTACATTGTTTCAGGATAAACTGGATTCTTTTTGTTAATGGCCACAAAAGTTTCGCTCCACAGCAGCAGCAGCAGCAGCAGAGGAGCAGTTTTCCTTTTTCCTTTGCGCTGGCCAAGTGGCCCAGACTGCCGGCGTCAGCGCTCAGCTCTCCAAACTCACACACACTCACAGACACGCACTTCGAAAAACTTTTTCAACATCGACTCCATCGGCCTCCGCTCCCCGTTCATCGCGGGGTTGTTTTCGGTACCGTGAAAGAAGTGTAACAAAAAGAGAAGACTCACCTCGCTGCAATAAAATAATCTTCAAACAGACGGGGCTGCGTGTTTTTTTATTCCCAGGGTCGGGTCTTGCCTGTCTGCTGGCGCGGCGCGACGCGTACTGGGAGACTCCGCCATGTCAATCAAAACGCGACGCACATGTAGGTCAGAGCCCGCCTCCTTTTTACCGTAATACACTGCGCACCGGGAAAAGCCAAAACAGAGCAGAGCTGCTGCTTCACCTTTGTGACAGAGGCAATCAGCGGGCTTGTCCTGTCAGGAGGAGACGGTGTGTCACAGGGAATAAAAAAATAAGTCACCCTCGGTCAGTCCTCAACTATTTATGAAACAGTTTTTATATTATTATCATTATTATTAATTATCAGAAACATTTCCTGTGCTTCCACTTTACCAATATTACATTATATCATAGGTTAATACTCACTGTAAGATATCATCAATATAAATATAAGCATTGTTGTATGCACTGTATATACTGCACTGTCATATTTACCCACCTCTTGTAGCCTCTATAAAGCAACCATGAATCATCCCATATACATGCCTGCAAATAGTGCTGGCTCCAAGTTGCACTACTGTATCATTGTTTACATGAAACTGATTGTTGTTTTATATTGTTATTGTTCTATATTAAATTGATAAATCTAAGGTCATCATAAAGAATGTGGTGATGGAGACATGTGTTTGGATTGGCTGCAGGAAACTCAAGCAAGTCCAGTTGCCTATGATATAGCACTTGTGATTCGTCACCAACAGACTGGCTGCTACCTTGCCCAGATGTCTCTTGTAAGAGATATTTTTAACCTCAATGGGACTTCCTGTTTACGTAAAAAATAATTTATATATATATATATATATATATATATATATTGTGATATGAGAACACATATCTTAAATTTTTTTGATATAGTAATATTGGAAGTGTTGTCTTTTCCTGGTTTGCATTACAGCAAATTATTGTGATTTTCCGGACTTAACAGAGTCTTCTAACTGTTGTATTATTTCCCTTTACCCACTATATATGTATACATATATATATGTATACATAGATACACCACCTCTACACTCTGGACAGAGACCTCAGATGTTGTACCTGGAATCTGCTGGAGCCACTTTCCAGTTTGGAGGTCACAGCCCCCAGTGCTCCAATATATATAACACAATGTCCGGCTGGCAGGGATGGGCAGTATTTCTATGACTTGTATTTAAAATACATATTTCAATTACATTTGAGTATTTTGTAATTTGTATTTGATAAGGCCGATAAACTAACAATATTTTTTACTTTTTTTTTTTTAATATATTTTTATCTATATGTTTTTTTTTAAACTTGGGCCATTCGATGTGCCCTTCAATGACCTAGTGGTCTGTTTTACTGGACTGTGCATAACATAGGAAATTGTATGTTGTTGTGGTTGATGCTTGGGCTAAGTATGCTACAAATTAAATGCCTCACGTCTGCGACCAAATTTGCTACTATCACGCCATTTATGGATGAATCATGGTAGTTCTTTCTGGCATAGTTACTTGTGGTCTCTAATTGCAGCATGTCAATTTTGAGCATTTTGGGTCAAGGCCTTTTTGAGTTATTCACAAAAAGATATGAATCGTTAAGTATAGCGCCACCTATGGACAAATTGTGGGCATTCTTTCTGTTATAGTTACTCATGGTTTCTAGTTGCAGTATGCAAATTTTGAGCCTTTTTGGTCAAGGACTCGTTATTCACGAAAAGCTTTGTGGACCGACCGACCAACAGAGTGACCTACAGAGCTGCGGGTCGCTGCTAAAAAGCAAAAGAAAAAAGTATTGTCTGTATTTGAAAATACAAAATACATGTATTTTATTTTGATACATTTATTTGAAGGGTATTTTATATTTTGTATCAAAATACATTTTGATGTATTTTTGCCCATCTCTGCTGGTTGGGTAGCCATCATCTGTTTGTCAGTCTGGATCTAGAAGTCCCACAGGATCTTAGCGCGGTCATTCTCAACCAACTTAGGAGGTGTCATCCGCTCTGACCTTGGGACTTAAAGCCCATACTCAGTGCAGATGTTCCTGTACACTATGCCGGCTGCTTGGTTATGGCGTTCCATGTACACCTTGTCCTGGTGAGGTAGACCCCTGCTTTTGTATATAGTAGTTAAATTATAATGATTAGAATTTAGCCATCAGAATAAAACCTTAATAATTATTATATGAGAAATGTTCTGTAACCATGTCATTTGATGGCCTCTTATCAGGTATGTTATGAGGATGAAAAGAAACATCCATTTGACACCTCAACCATCACTTTCAGCCTTGACCAATTGCTGTTATGTTACTGTGTCCTAAACACATTCTCTCCTGAAGGGTTATGTCAGCCCCAAAAAGGTGGTTGAACCCTTCTGCAAACAACAGCAGCTGAATCCAGTTTACGCTGGTTTCCGTTTGTCTTTTATGACCCAGAACATCTTCGTACCAGAACCTACATCAGCAAATGACCTGCAGTGACCTGTGTCGCCCTGCTCCCACTGATCTCTCACGTTTTATCACGACCACAGGAAAAAAATCAATAAATGTCACTGCTGCAGAAGAAGAACTTTATTATGATAAACAATAGTTTCCTACAGACAGACTTTAAGAGGTTTGAGGGTACGTGGGTGCGATCTGTGTCCAGGTGTCTCCAAAACAACTTAAACAACAGGACAAAGTCCCTCTGGTGGCTGCACTGAAGCCTGGCATTACTCAGCTGACAGGTCCAAGGGTTACAGGTCCGAGGCACTGGTGCTTAAGACAGACCAACATGTACTGTACAGGGTAAACTATACCCTGACCTGTAACTGTACAGTATGGAGCTTCCTTTCACTGAATGCATTACAACACAGCCACATGTACACACAGAGCAGCTTTATCTTTGCAGATGATTCTTTGAGCATGTCGGTGCCTGAAATTAGACATTAACATCATCAAGTACATGTCAGGATCAGAGCATTGAACCTGCCAAGTGTCTCGGTGCCAAACGCATCATTTAAATAGTTTCATCATAAACCCACATATTGGCTTTTGATGAAAGCACCAGCTACTATTAATAAATGATTTCCAGGGAATTTTAAAACTTAAATTGGTGTAAAATTACCGAACAGATCATTTAGAGATGGTCAGTATCAAGGATATTTGAAGATTTTGACTGAGAAGTGAATTTAATTTAGCAGAAAACAGCAGCAAAATGAAACACTGCTCAATAACGCCCTCATTAGACTCACTGACAGCCAGTCCCAGAGGGGAATTTGCTCAAATTTGGATATCAGACTGAAACAGCTGAAGAGTTCTTCAGCAGACAAGACGTTGTTTTATTTCTACATTATCATAACTGCGAGCTACGTAAAAAAAAACAAGTGCTAACAACGCAAAAACAAGCTGTTATATTAACAACGGGGTTTCCATCTGTTATGTACGTGTTTGTCTCCAAACAGTAATCGGCCTCTTTCTTTCTGTATTTTCAAGCAAGCGGACTCAGCCAAATACACTCATTGCCCCTGAGTTCTAGATTTCTCTCTGCTGGCAAACACACACACACACACACACACACACACACACACACATTCCAGCAACTGCACTAAGAAAACAGCCACTGGTGTAATTCTAAGCCAGCAGAAAAAAATGGCCCTGGATCAGGACAGTGTGCCTGTAAGGAATTAAATTCACTTCACTTCTATTCAATAAACACTAATCATCCTCAAGGGGCAATTGGTGTGGCAGGCAGAAAAACCCTTCTCACACACCAAAAGTGCAACGCAGGTTATAGACAGTGGGCACACACAGACTGTGGAGCCCCCTAACTGCAGAAACTGTGATACCACTTAAACTATCTGGGCTATTTCCAAATTCCATTAGTTCAAATTTGGGTGTATACTGGGATTATATTTTCTGCTAATTTATTGGAGCATCACAAATAAATTCAACTGTTTAAAAACATGTTTTTTTTAATCTTAAGGACAGTGAAGTAAAATGCACTGATTATTCTGCCTCTCTTTAAAAACTTTAAAGTCCCCATATTGTTCTGTAGAGGTTCTCTACTGGCTCTTCAGCTGAGTTTAGCTTAGTAAAATTGGGGGAAAACATACAGTGAAATAGCCTACAAACAGTTTAATTCCAGAGGATAACGCATTAAAGCATTTGACCTCATGTACATGGAAATATTCCAGGTTTCAAGAGGTAACGTACTGTGTTTGTCAGTAAGAATATAGTACAAGATTCTGAATCTTTTAAAGCAATATTTTATGAGAAGTAATTCATAATAATTCACATTATAAGTTAAAAAATCATTTAGAAGTATACTGACTTTCCCATGGTGTCATCTAGCATCATTCAAGGGCCCCCAGGCTTGAAAATTTAAAACAATATTGTGCTATGTGGCATCTTCAATGGTTTTATATAGCACTATTTGACAAAGGTGCTGTGTAGCATCTTTTAAAAATGGGTGCTGTATAGCATCAAAACAGGTTCCCCTATGACTACGAACCAAAAAATGCCCTTAGTTTCTGTTTAGCACCATTTTTGTTTATGCAATTTAGGAGCTAAATGCTATTATGTAATAGCATTTAGCTTCAGAGCTGAGTTGTTTAACCTGTCATCAGTGTAAAGTGTCCATCAATTCATCTGTCAAGTAGCTCCCTTTGATAAGAAATGGCATTACCAAAGCAATAATCCAATATTTTAATTCATTTTCCCAAACCACTTATCCTGTTGGGGGTCACAAGTTGGCTGGAGCCTATCCCAGCTGACATTGTGTGAGAGGCAGGGTACACCCTGGACAGGTCACCAGACTATCACAGGGCTGACACATAGAGACAGACAACCATTCACACTCACATTCACACCTACGGACAATTTAGAGTCACCAGTTAACCTGCATGCCTTTGGACTGTGGGAGGAAGCTGGAGTACCTGGAGAAAACCCACGCTGACACGGGGAGAACATGCAGATTCAACACAGAAGGGCTCCCCCACCCTGAACCAAGGAACCCTCTTGCTGTGAGGTGACAGTGCTAACCACTGCAACACAGTGCCGCCTGATCCAATACATAATCTTAAATAA